GACCCAAAAAGGTCACAGTATTCTTAAAATAGGGGAGTAGAAATGTACAAACTGAAGCTAGACATAAATGTGCACCAAAATCCAGACCCAAGTTGTGTGGAATTTCAGAATCAGACTTCTGCTCTGAACATTGTGTTTGACATAGATTTCTAGTGATTTGTATAAAAATCCTGCGTACATTGAATAGATGAGGGCCCAGACACAAACCTGCTTTTGTACACAGGTCCACAGGTTGAATCAGCACTGAGTGAATATGGGTTTTGCCTTGATTTACTTAGACAATGACTTTAAAGGGAAAACATTGGGGGCCAATTCACTTCTCTGTTTGTGGTAGGTTGTACTTTACTCAACTAGAATACCTGGAAATACTTTCAGAATAAGATGAGTATGGGATTTTATCGTTTCTTTTATCTGCAAAAAGTGGGGTTAGTACCAACTTTACAAGGCAGGTGGTAGAGCCCCTACTGCCTAACTTCTTACTTAGCTACTTGTTTTTAGACATGAAGAACTGGGCCTTAATGCCTGCACAGCACTTTGTAATCCTAGAATGGAAGGCACTATAAAAGTATAAAGTATTACAGTGAATAAAATGACAAGTTATGGGGCCCTTTTTCACATTGGTGAGCTCTCACTCTTGCAAGCAGTACCACTGAAACCAGTGAAATTTTATAAGCAAATGATGAGAGAAGGCTCCTCACTCTGACTTAAAGATCCTTTTCCCAAGCCTGGTATGACTTGAGAGCTGGCCCAGTCCATAGCCCATGCACTCAGGAGTGGGTACGGGTTATTATTAATATCCTTTCTTTCCAGAAGAAACTTCCTGTTAAGAGAACGAGGAAAGACAAAGAGTGCAGGGAGTCATGGCTCTGGATACTCTCTAGAGCGTGGTACAGTTACAGCCCTCACAACTGGGGATTAAATACTGGTAATGCCACTGTTTAGTCCGTATTGCTGTATTCCTTGCCCCCTGTCAACTCCTATTCCTTCTGTCATCCTACGACTGTCCATTTTCATGACTCTACTTGCCAGACTGCAGCAGAGAGAATGTGAAGCAGGGTGTCAAGAGTAAAACCATGGTAACTATAAAGTAATAAAACAGTCTAGAATACAAAATGACACCAAAATGGTTATAAAGCTGACTTTTTAAAAACATAAATCTTGCATTAACTTAGTATAATCAGCAGGTTTATGTTTCTTGCAATTGTTTTTATGCTTAAATCTTTTATACAGGGATTAATTGTCCTCCCGCATATGACGCTGTGGATGAATCATTTACAAAAGTGCATTCTCTCTCTAAATCAGAGCTTTGAACCTCTAGTTGCCAGGCAAGGGCTGTGATCCTGGGAATCTTTCTTTCTAGGCTGCTGGAACTCTCTTTTGTGAGCAGCGAGATCCCCGTCTTTCAGAACAAAGTAACGTAAAAGAACAGGATATACACAAACAAACAAAGAACAGCCAAGGAATGAGGCTTGACAGTTTTGCAGCATTTACTCCTATGTTTTTCTTTTTCTCTTTTTGTAAAGTATATGAAGGGAACGCTTATACAAGTCAATTTGCAAATGATCTTCCCCTTTCTGCTTTCCAAACACCAGCTGCTTTGCCCTATCAGAAAACCACAGTAATGAGCACAGTTGAAACATACCAATAAAATCAGGTTAAACTAAGGATGAAATACTCCAGTTTCCTACTCATCACTTTTGTCAGGGTGCTCAGACAATCACTTGGTATCTCTTACTGTAGTAGCATTCGTGAGAAGAGCAGAGGTAAAAGACAACTTCCAAAAGATCCACAGCAAGTGGAAATTCCACGTGCCCCCACATACCTGGCCCTGCCTCCTGCCTAGAAGAACAGCAAAACATCCTAATTTGCATCAAGAGGGCAGAGGCTGCAGAGACACAACTTCTTGGAGGATGGAAAAAATCTTCAAACAAGGTGGGGTGGTAGCTTGAAAGTTGGGGTGTCTTCTTCTCACAGCTGCTGGAGGAGGTAGGGGCCAATGCCTCTTTGGACCTTTTCCTCCCAGAGGTGGCACTTGGGAGGCAATTTAGGTGGCAATTTAAAGGTGGAAATTTAAAAAGACCCAAGAGACAAAAAACCCCACAACAACTCCAGTTCAATTAGCTTGAAGCAGAGATACTCAAGGTGGCAAGGGCCAAGCCACAAGAGGCTGGTCAATGTCTTCCCTACAGCTCTTCACTGTTATTCCAGTGTCTTCCCACCCATTCCAGTGGTTGGATTTTAATTTTTAAATGCCAGCAGGGGCTATGTCTTTTCTCCTGTCAGGAATAATACAAGGCACTTACTATCTATGGCTAGCAAGCCTGGTACAAACACGGTAGGACTTGGGGTTGTTTTTTTTAATTGGAGTGTGTGCACCACACTTCCCCTGACCAGGCTGAAGCTGGTTCCTTATTCCCATTTTCTTATTTCTGCTTCACTGCTCCTTATTCCCAGTTCCTTTTTCAAGGCCAGGCCAATCTTTACACAATTAAAGGCTGTAAAAATAAATTCCACTAGCTAAAGAGTTTGAATTTCAATCAGAAATGTCTCATTACTAATCAAAATGTAAAATAATATCATGGATCAAGTGCCTACGTAGCCCTGAATAAGGGAGTCAGGTTGTATCTGTATTGGTCTAGAGCAGCAGCTCCCAAACTGGCGGACTGCACCAACAATTTAAACTGATACAATCTTAAGTACCACCAGCAAATTTCTGTCATATAAAGTAATTCTATGAAATCTGTTAACGTGTATCACTGACAGGTTGTCTGTGTTCCCCTGGTGGTACCGGTACCACAGATGGGGAACCGCTGGCCTAGAGCCAAAAGGAATCGAAACTCCTGGAAGAGGCGTTACTTTTTATTATTAGACCAACTATTTGTCGATGAATTATTTTATTTCTTTGCAAGCTTTCTGACACATTCACCCTGAATAAAGGCAGACAAGGTTCTTTGGGTAAATAATCCAATATCTTTTATTAGACCAACTCAAATAAAACCAGTCCAACCATTAGGCGAACTAGGTGGTCGCCTCGGACACCAAAATTATATGCAGAACAAAACAGGAACATCATTCTGAATAACAGGAACATCATTCTGAATAACAGGAACAACATTAAGTAAAATAATCCCATAACAGGAACATCATTCTGAATAACAGCCCTGGCCGGCTACGGCTCCACCTTGGTCCAAGACCTTTGTTTCAATAAGGGGAGAAACATGGGAGACTGGTGCCTCCCGAGTCTGAGGGGGCACCAGATTGCTGAGGGAGGGAGGGGTGTCCCCCAGCGGCCGACTGCCAGTTTCCCGGCTGCTGCATGGCCAATCTCAGGGGGTGCATATGCACTCCCTACATGTCAGTAGTGGGGAGAAGATCTCAGAGGAAAGATCACTAGCATGGACCACCATCGCAGCTAGAAGTGTTTACCTCCACACAGCTACATCAAGGGACTGGACGTGGCTTGAAGTGCACCTCATGGCTCTCTGGCACGCCCCTCCCGACTCCTACCTTTTCAACTCCCAAGCGGGCTTATGACAAGAGCATACGGCTGGCAACCTCATCCTACAAGAGATATCGGGGGGGGGGCGCCGCCAGCGCGCCATTTACCCTCGGACAAGCGCTGAGTTGGAAACCTTCTTTGCAAGCTTTGAGGCACGAACACCCTTGGTTGGGCTGAGGAAGCTGCAGTTGGTGTGTGCTCCTCCTGGAGGGAACAAGGAGCGGAGATGAGGGGGTGAAATGACCCCAAACCAGACCTGCCCCCAGCTGAGGGGCACTTCTGTGAGTGGGAATCGAGGCTCCTGGGGGAGGCGGAGAGCGGGCAGGGCAGGGCAGGGCAGGGCAGGGAAGCCCCTTCGCCCTGAGGGAGAGGCGGGCGGGGC